GATCTTCAAGACTTGATCCCCAAATAAATGTTGCTAGATTGCAATTCTAGATTGCTAGATTGCGACTCCAGAGAGTTTGGTCTAGAACAGTGGTGGGTTTCACTTACCTTTGCTACCAGTTCGCTCGCACATGCACCACTTCTGCGCATGCGCAAATCGTATTTCATGATGTCTGGATGGGTGGGCGGAGCCTCCTGCCAATGCTGCTACCGGTTCGCCTGGACCGGGGTGAACCGGTAGCAACCCACCACTGGTCTAGAGCCAGTTTGGTCTAGCGGTTAAGGCATCAGGCTAGCAACCAGGAGACTCTGAGTTCTGGTCCTGCCTAAGGCATGAAAGCCAGCTGGGTGACTTTGGGCCAGTCTCAGCCCAGCCTAACACACAAAGGAAATTGTTGTGGGGAAAATAGAAGGAAGAGATATGATTACCGTCTTGAGTTTATTTCTAAAAGTAATGAAGGTGGGATATGTATACATACATGCATGCATACGTGTGTGTGTGCATCCGTGTATATATTGCAAAACTGGCCAGGTTCATGTGATGCTACTATTAGGTCAGATCAGTATGATGTCATCCTTAGAATTAATACATTCAGATTTTTTGAGGTTGTATATAGGTCCTGTAGTGCTTTTACAGTTATTTAGAAAACTAATTTCATTTCAGTTGCTACACTTTTGCTTTACAATTTTAGGAGCCACATTGCTCCTAAACATCCTATATTTATTATTTTGTGCCAATATATCCCATTTTGGCTAGTCCTGAAAGCATAGTATGGCTTCATTAATCTTAACTTTTTATTAGAAACAAGATAAAAAAGTATACTGAATCAATGGCCCCTCCTTTGTGGGGTACCACAGGGCTTGGTATTCTCTCTGATCTTCTTTAACATCTACATGAAACTGCTGCAAGACCATCTGTCACTACAGGACAAAGTATCACTAATATACCCATCTATCTACCTCTGTCCCAGGTGAAGTGAGTGATGCAGTAGACATCCTTTCACGATGCCTGGAGGCTGTGGGGGGTCCCAATGGGGAACAGACTTCAACTGAACCCTAGTAAAATGGAATGGCTGTGGGTAGGCCCCTCTGTGTCCAGGAGTTTATCATCTTTGGTCTTGGATAGGATCACAGACTCAGACAGACTCAGTGAATAACTTGGTCTTGGACTCACAGCTCCTGCTTAAAGAGCAGGTGGCAGCCATGGCCAGGAGGGCTTTTTCCCAACTTCACGTTGTGCCAGTTACGCCCCTTCCTGGACAGGGGCCCCCTCCTCTCCGTCACTCATGCCCTGATCAGTGGTGGGATTCAGCCAGTTCGCATCACTTCGGGAGAACTGGTTGTTAACTTTTTGAGCAGTTTGGCAAACTGGTTGTTGGAAGAAATCATTAGGGCAGAGAACCGGTTGTTAATTTGCTTGAATCCCAGCACTGGCCCTGATCATCTCCTGATAGAATTATTGCAATGCGCTTTACATGGGGCAACCCTTGAAAAGTATCCAGAAGCTTCAACTGATGCAGAATGTGCCTGCGCGAGCTACACTGAGAGCTCAGAGAAGGGCAACATAACATAACAGAGCATAGCACCTCTGGTTCACGAACTGGATTGGGTGCCAGTTTACCTCCGGGTCCAATTCAAGGTGTTGGTTATTACCTATAATGCCCTCTATGGCATAGGGCTAGGCTACTCCTACCCCTACCCCATCACATCAGCCTATCCCACTTGTTCAGGCAGGGAAGGCATGCTACATACCCCATCAGTCAAAGAATTTCAACCAGCCAAGGAAGAGGGCCTTCTCTGCCGCTGCCCCTGCTTTGTAGGAATATCTTCCCCTCAGAGTTAAGGAAAGCTCCCAATCTCTCGGCCTTCCACAAAGGGGTCAAAACCTGATTGTAACCTTGTGACTGTACCATTGGGTTGGCTGGCCTCAGGAGAACACACACACACCCTGGCCTTGTATTACGAACTCCTAGTTTTTCCACCTTGGAACTCTCCATTTTTTGTAATTTTTTTTTACACTTTAAAAGAATGTTTTAATCTTAAATTATTCAGTTTTTAATGTTTTATTATATTGACTAATTTGTATACTGCCCAGAGCCTCTCTATGAGTGAGATGGGCAGTGATATAAGTAGTCTTCCACAACAGCATTTAAGGTGGCCCTAAATTAGGGACATGGTCTCTTAAGAGGGGGGGGTCCCTAAGGCCATTTTTCAAACTTTTTCTCATCATTCAGACAGAATCCAACATCCTTGAATTCTGTCTGAATGTTGCATCCTTGGAGCAACTGAAAGACTTAGAGCTTATAAAGCATACCAACAAGCTTTGGGTTATAACAATGCTAAACGTCTAGCGAAGTAGCCTCTACCTGAGATTTTTTACCTGATATGAAGAAGAAATGGGTCTCACTTAGGAATGAAAAGTTGTGTTTTCACACATTACGCTATATTTCAGAGCATTCAAAATGAAGTACTAGTGGCCGTAGCACTTCTCTTTCACTTCAGGTTTCCCACCAGTCTGATAAATTTAAAAAATGGCCCCATTAGCATCTTCAAAAATAAAAAAAATTGAGTGGTTGTAGCTCTGGTTTGTATAAGTGTATTTCTTGGACCAAAAATTCTGTACAAACAAAAATGGGATTGCATAGGAACTTGAGGGGATGGTAGGAAGCCAGCATGCTCATTTGCCTTATGGTAAACAATTATTTTAATACAAATCTGGTTGATAATGGCAGCCGTTTTGTTGAAGCATCTACAACATGGCAAACATTCAGATATGTTACCGCCCCTCCCCAGATGTTTATGCTTTAAATTATATTTCCAAGATTATAACATGGGATCATTATATGATGTTATATTAGCTCAAGAATTAGGTTGCCATTGCTTAGTTCTATGTAGAGCATTTGCCAGTCCTAAATTCTGCACCATCCATTAATGTACTTTATCTTTGGGAACAAAGCAGTTCTTAATGACAAGTCTTCACATGTATTGCTCCAAAATGTTTTTTTTTTAATATTTACTTATTTAATTAATTTCTATAAGTGCCCATGTCAAACAAATGGCTCTGGGTGGCAAATATAAAACATATGTTTCTTCCTGAATTGCTCTAAAATATGTCTCTTCCCAAAACGGAATAAATAATTCAACTGACTGTAGTATTTCTGTACAATGCATGTTTATTGCCCAGAGACTATACAAAATATTTGGGATACTGGTGGTAATAAAGTAAAATAAACAATAAAATGAGTCATGTGTTGAGGGATAGAATTTTCAATTTTCTCCTGAATTATTGGTGACTGGGTGGTTGTTTTTTTTTTTTTATAAATAAAGTGGTCACACTTTAACCATATTTTAGTGCTTATGAGACCAAAATGATTTTAACTCATAGTTGCTTCTCATATTTGGCAAAAAGGATTGGAGGACACAAGAAAGGCCAAGGTTTGAAGTCTGGCCCTTGCTCTAGCTCAATTTTTCCTAATAGGGTGCCTGCTATATTATTGAAGGTTAAGTTTTAATTTGTGTTCCCCAGCCCCTGTAGCTATACTTCTGGAAGGTATCAAGATTTCTTATGATCATTGGGCTTTAATTAATGAATTGCTTTTCTTTATTCCGCTTGGGGCAAAGCAAGTTACACAAGTATCCTCCAGAGCCCAAAGCTGTTGTTGCGGAATTCTTGGTTCTAGTGGAAACTGACATTTCAAACAATTTGCTATTTAGACAAAAAAAGAACATGCAGAGAATCCAAAGTACATTCCTGGTTCAAGCATGTTGCAATAATGAAAAGATGGGCATTTTCTGTTCAAAAAGGAGCAGCAAGCACGACAGCAGATGCGAATCCCAGTTTGCAATCTAGCAAAGCATCTGGATTTATCTAGAGGGAAATCATAATTGTCACTACATTTTCCAGCTAAGCCAGTCAGATCGCTGTATAAGTACTGTACAGAAGAAATTAGATGAAAATGTTTGAATATTTTCAGAAGTTGTTTAGACAGCTATTTGGGCCACTGCTTTATTTACATGCCTGACGTGTACAACTAATGTGTCCTGTAGGAACCACATAGGTTGGCATGGGTCCTAGTGTCATGAAAGCAGATACCCTCTTAGCAACATCTCAGTAGGATGCTAACAAAATATTGAAGCAAGCAAAATGACTGCTGCCTCATATGTAACAGGAAATGACATAGATTCCCAATTTTAATGTTACAGATTGTAGCTGTCCCCGGCCTTCTGTTTTCCTAGAATATTATGTTTGCAGATTCCCTGGCTATAACCTCACAAGCACAGGAAAAAAGGGGCACCTCCAGGATTGTGCTCAAATTTTGGTATATATATACAATGTGTGGAAAGTAGAAGCAGCAGCCTTTTAATAAAATCTAGTTATATGACAATCTGTCCAGTTGTAACATTTGAGTTTTGTTTTTCACTTTTACAGATGAGTAATTAGCCTTACAGAGTTATTAACTATAATGAATGACTTTCAATTCCGTGCAACTTTTTCTCCTAGCAGCTCTACCTACTACTGGCTTAACATTCCTTGTGTTCTAAAGCTGTAGAAGCCATGCTAAGTTTGTGAAAAGTAGACAATCAGGAATTACAGCGTTAGCATAGTTCAGTGAAGCCCCAGAGAGTACAGTAACATCTCTCATCCATTGGGACAATTTATAAACAAAAATCAATCATTTCCTCTCCCAACCTGATTGTCAGCAGCTGGAAATTTGCCTTCTCCTATAAGAATTCTGCACAGGAAGTACATGCGGAGATAGATACATGTGTCAGAGATGCTATGCATAAACTTTTATATTATAGGAATATTTCTACCCATCCCACCCCAACACCTTAAAAATCAGTATTGCTTTGCACAGAAACAACGGCTTAGCCTGGTGTTTTCAATAGGTCCATTCTTTCTATGCTTGTTAAGAATATCAATTTCAGCAGGGAATATCAGATATATATTGATGGTCGTGCTCATTTGGTTCTATGAGAAAGTTATTTGGTCAATACAGCTTCAGGTTCAAAAAGTTGTTTTTATTATTTACAAATATATACATGCGTACGATAATGAACAGGATGTCCTGTTACATTTTTACCCTAACTGTATGACTCAGATGTTGAGAGGAGAGAGAAGTCCACGTGTTGTCTCGCTGAGAGATAGATGAGAGAGAGAGAGAGAGAGAAAAAAAAGGGAAGATGTCCAAGTGGTTTCTAGGTAAGAGTCCAATAATAGAGTTCATTGGCTGATATAGTCACATGTGATGTCTGTAAAGACTTAAACCCTTCTAGTCTCTGGTGCATCATATGCAGGCAATATCTGACAGGGAAGTTGCATTTTCTTTTTCAGATCACCACAAAGCTATAGTAAAAGTAATCTTCTCATCCTAAATTTATGTTAATTGTGTTTTAGGTAAGCAACATCAAGTGACTTTAATAAAAACATTTTGCAATCGGCTATGTGTGGTCCTTTGCATAACTTCAATTAAAAATACAACTAAGCAGCAATACTGGCAATATTAATCTGTTTTTCTCTTGGCATGTAGCCCTGATAATACCTCAAGGGAATGGAGTTCCTTATGCACATATATCAAGGTCCCCACCCTTTTTTTTAACAAGCAGCCTTTCAGTGATGAGTCTGAGCTATAGTTTAATAGCTCTGAACTCGGTTTCAAAAAGTAAATGAACACTCCAGCTGGAGCTTGTTAAGCACTTGTCACTAAACTATCTACACAATATATATTAACTTTCTAACGTGAACAATCAGTAAAATCACACTAACCGTACAGTAACTAGGACTCTGCAAAACACAGTGGCAACCTAATCAGAGGGCAATTGTTCCATCTCCTCCCCCTGCCCTGCACACACACTTTTTTTAGCACTTCCTGAAATCTAACATTTCTGACATTTTACATGAAAGACACCATTCATTGGTGCTCATTGTTTAATGGTTCTTTAATACAAAGCATAGCTTACTACAGTACACGCTATGTGAATTAGCATCCTTGCAGCACTTTACTCCCATAAGTAGTAAAAAAAAAAAAATGCTGCCTGCTATTTTTTTACAACCATCAGTTAAATAGCCTTTTCATGGCTGCATGGGAGCTTCTATTTGCTGTTGAAAATCTTAAGTATTTTATGTGGCTGCATGGAAACTACTTATAGGAGTACTATAAGTGCTATTATGCCCACTTCCTTAAATTATTCTATTTTTAAGCTTATAGGATTTACTGAGGGAGGTATACTCAAGATGGTATACAGTACTCAAGATGATACATTATACTGTAAACCACTCAAAATTTAAGTTGGTACCCAAAAAGCTGAATTCCTGCATCCAGGGTTATACAAATAAAGAAAACCTGCATGTAGAGATAGACAGCATGCAGTTGTTTAGAATCAATTACTTTTCCCAATTATGAAGAGGGATATATTTACTGATTGCTTCAAACTTGCCCTTTCTTGATGGCCAAAATTTGCTTACCTTTGGAGATTTCACCAAGCAGCATATTCAAGCATATTCTTACAGGTATAGGAGATAGTAATTTGAAAGATTTAAAAAGTCAACATTTTCACATTGTTAAATCTATTTTCTCATCTCCCCCCCCCCCATTGTCATATGCTGTTAAATCAGAAATGTTTGCAGTTTTCTACTTTATGCTCCTAATAAAGGGGAAAATAAATGATGCCTCAGATTTTGTTCCATTCCAGATCAACAATGTTTCCTGCCTTTCAAAGGCACCTACCTTTTTCACCTCTCATTTATTGCCCTTCCAACATTAGAGAAACCATAGGATTCTGTCCGAAAAAAGTTCATCCAAATGTAGATCAATCTTCCCTCACCTAAGTGCCTTCTAGATGTAGAGATGAATTTTTAAAATTCCTAGCATGCACATCCATTGCACAGAACGCCATGAATTGATGTGTACAGTCCATACCTGACAAACACCCAAACAGAAGACAGTTTTATGTGGTTTCTACTGGTTGTTACAGAATACAATTTTTCCTGCTTCAGCTCCTTCACATCAGTCTTCATGTTACATTTATGCAAGTGCCAGGCAAAACTGTTTGTGCTGTAGGACTCTTCTTGAGAAGCAGAATTCTACCAAACCAACCAAAACTTAATCTAGCCATCAAGCAGCATATGAAAGTTTTCTAGAGTTAAGAATTATTTAATCATTTGGAAATTCATTTGCAAAAGTCCAATGGGAGGCACTAGGAAATATATATATATATAATGCAATTTAACCTAGAATGCAGGTAAGATGACTGAAAGTTCCAATGACATATGAAGTGATATTATTTTAATATAGGTGGAATATTCCCTGATGCCTATTCTTACCATGCAGGACAAAAATACAACCCCGAGAAGACTAAATGTAATTATTTCTTAATGTGTAGCCCAGCACTAAAAGGGTTTTCAGGCAGCCCTCTGAATTAAAACACATTTTCTGTGAAGAATTTTATTAACAGTCACAACTGTACAAGTAATAAGAAAGCAATTAGTGTATATACAGTACATTCAGAAAGTATTCAGACCCCCTTCACTTTTGTCAATTTTGTTATGGTGCAGCCTGATTGTAGAGTTGTTGAAATTCATTTTTTTCCTCATTAATCTACATTCAGTACCCCATGACAAAGTGAAAACAGAATTTTAGAAATGTCTGTAAATTTATTAAAAAGAAAAAAACGGAAATATCACATTGGCATAAGTATTCAGACCTTCACTCGGTGCTTTGTTGAAGCACCTTTGGCAGAAATTACAGCCTTGAGTCTTTTTGGCTATGACGCAACAAGCTTTGCACACTTGGATTGGGGGATTTTCTGCCATTCTTCCTTGCAAATCCTCTCAAGCTCAGTCAGGTTGGATGGTGACTGTCAGTGGACAGCCATTTTCAGGTCCCTCCAGAGATGTTCAATAGGGTTCATGTCAGGGCTTTGGCTGGGCCACTCTAGAACATTCAGAGTTGTCCCTAAGCCACTCCTGTGTTGTCTTGACTGTGTGCTTAGAATCGTTGTCATGTTGGAAAGTGAACCTTTGGCCCAGTCTGAGGTCCCGAATGTGGTGGGACAGGTTTTTATTGAGGATATCCCTGTACTTTGCTCCATTCAGCTTTCCCTCAATCCTGACCAGTCTCTCAGTCCCTGCTGCTGAAAAACACCCCCACAGCATGATGCTGCTGACACCATGCTTCACTGTTGGGATGATATTGGGCAGGTGATGAGTGGTGCCTGGTTTCCTCCAGACATAACATTTAGAATTGAGGCCAAACAGTTCAATCTTGGTTTCATCAGACGACGAGAATCTTGTTCCTCACAATCTGAGAGTCCTTCAGGTGCTTTTTTATGAACTTGAAGTGGGCTTTCATGTGTTTTGCACTGAGGAGAGGCTTCCATCTAGGCACTGCTATAAAGCCCAAATCGGTGGAAGACTGCAGTAATCGTTGTCTTGGAACTCTGTCCCATCTCCACAGAGGATCTCTAGAGCTCAGAGTAACTATCAGGTTCTTGGTCACCTCTATTACTAAGTCCCTTCTCCCCTAATTGCTCAGTTTGACCAGCAACCAACTCCTGGAAGCGTCCTGGTTGTGCCACACTTCTTCCATTTGAGAATTATGGAGGCCATTTTGTCTTAGGAACCTTCAGTGCAGCAGAAATTTTATTGTAGCCTTGCAATAATCCTTGTCTGAGCTCTACAGCAGTAGTGAAATCCACATTTTTTTACTACCGGTTCTGTGGGTGTGTCTTGGTGGGTGTGGCAGGGGAAGGATACTGCAAAATCTCCATTCCCACCCCACACCAGGGGAAGGATACTGCAAAATCTCCATTCCCACCCCACTTCAGGGGAAGGATGGTGCAAAATCCTTATTCCCTCCCCATTCCTGTGGGAAGGATACTGCAAAATCCCCATTCCCACCCCACTCTGGGGCCAGCCAGAGGTGGTATTTGCCGGTTCTCTGAACTATACAAAATTTCCGCTACCGGTTCTCCAGAACCTGTCAGAACCTGCTGGATTTCACCCCTGCTCTACAGGCAGTTCCTTTGACCTCATGGCTTTTGCTCTGCTACAGTATGCCTCAGCTGTGAGGCCTTCTATAGAGAGGTGTGTGCCTTGCAAATCATGTCCGATCAATTTCATTTACCACAGGTAGATTCTAATCAAGGTGTAGAAACATGTCAGCAATGATCAAGAGAAATGGGAGAAATTTCAAGTGTTGTTGCAAAGGGTCTGAATACTTATGCCAATGTGACATTTCAGTTTTTTTTTCTTTTTAATAAATTTACAGACGTTTCTAAAATTCTGTTTTCACCTCAATATGCGATACCAAGTGTAGATTAATGTGGAAAAAATGGATTTCAACAACTGTAGAATCAGATGGTAGCATAACAAAACTGACAAAAGTGAAGGAGGTTTGAATACTTTCTGAATTTACTGTATAGATATATTTATATATACTGTATATATCTTATAAAATGCATAAACATCATTGTATTATCAATCCCATCCCCGGACAAGCAATTTGCAAGGGAAATAAAATCTTGCAGAAGCATTCGTATCTGCCTCTTTTTGCTCTAGGCAGAAAGAGACCTCTTAGTACCAATGTTCAAGACCACACTTTCCCAGCGTGCTCCAACATGTGATACAGAACTACATAGTGAAGATATGCATACACCATTTAGCTTGGTTTTCTTTCTCGTGACGTATCCAAAACCTGGGAAACTAATCTCCTGGCTCGAAATGTTTAGAATTCCTCAGGGAATGTAAATAGCCAGATGAAGAAACTGCCTGCCAGAGCAGGAGATCAATGTACCATCTCTGGCCAAGCCAGTATGCAGCTGATGATGAAGCTGCACCACCCTCCCATTCCTCCCACCCCCATGATGCTTAGCATAGTGCAAATGAAACAACAGAGCTGCTTTGCCAGATGCTTACGATAGTAACATGCTGCATTGTTTCAAAAACAAAGCTGCTCCTTAATGAGAGAGCTTCCTGCCTAAGTTGAGCACCCAGCATGACCAACCATACACCATCACACAGCCAATCAGCTATTCCGTTCTAAAAAAACTGGTATATTTTTGGTATGGCTAGCAAAGCTCTCTCAAAAGACAGACACGCACACACAAAGTAGAGCCCGAGGAAGTTAGCTTCATGGCTCAAGTCCCACATCAGCCAAGACGATATGCAGCGTTATTGCGCCATTAGGACAGTACACACTGCAGAGTCTCTCTAAGGGCAGCGAAAAGGCTCAGTTAGTAAAAGTCTCTTCTCTACTTGGAATTGGCTTTTTCAGGAAGTGCATCACAGCTTGCATCACTTTGCCAGGGGAGATGTTGTAGACAGGATGCGTTGGCTGCTGTTTGGGAATGAAGGAAAGGAAAAAAAAGAATTAACTGCAATTCTGCTGGCTGTTGGCAGTTCTCTAACCCCCCCCCCAAAAAAAGAAGAAGCCAAATTTGGACATTTAAATGTTATATGACATTCAGTCAGCAGATGCATTTCATTTTGCTTGATAAAAGCTTGACCACGGAGCTCCAGGGAGTCCTTGACTTACATCACAATTGAGTTCAGAACTTCTATCACTAAGCGAGGCAGTCGTTAAGCAAGGGCGATCCAGTTTATGATCTTTTTTTTTTTGCTATGGTCTTTAAGTGAATCTGATTTCCATTATTTGGCTTTGTTTGTTGGGAACCTCCAGGGAAAGTCACAAATGGCAATTATGTCACCCCAGGATGCTGCAAACATGTAAATGTGAGCTAGTTGTTGTTAAGCACCCAGATCATGATCATGTGGCCATGGGCCACTGTGATAATAAGTATGAGGACCAACTGTAAGAAACTTTTTTCCGTATTGTAACTTCGAGTAATTGTTAAATAAATGGCCGCAAGTTCATTTCTGGGGGGGGGGGGGGGGGATGAGTCTGCCTATTGAGATGAGGTGGACCGGTTGCTTTTGTGGTGTGGAGACAATAACTTGGTCCAATAAGACCAAGGAGTTTATAGTGGACTATAGAAGGAATAGATCAGACATCCAGCCCTTGGTTATCAATGGAGACCGACTGGAGCAAGTGGCCAGTTTTAAGTTTCTGGGTGTTAGCCAGAGGTGGGTTTCAGCAGGTTCTGACCAGTTCTGGAGAACCGGTAGCGGAAATTTTGAGTAGTTCAGAGAACCGGTAGTAAAAATTCTGATTGCCCCACCCTCTGCCTCCCAAGTCCCAGCTGATCGGGAGGAAATGGGGATTTTGCAGTAAGCTTCCCCTGGAGTGGGGTGGGAATGGACATTTTACAGTATCCTTCCCCTGCCACGCCCACCAAGCCAAGCCAGGCCATGCCATGCCACGCCCACCAAGCCATGCCCACAGAACCGGTAGTAAAAAATTTTGAAACTCACCACTGGTGTTATCATAAAAGAGGACCTGACCTGGGGCACTCACATTGCAGTGCTGGTCATACTAACCGACACTTCTCAGGAAACAACAACTGAATGAAACACTGCTGGTGACCTGCTGGTGACCGTCTACTGCTGCACCATAGAGAGTATTTTAACTTACTGCACCTGTGTGTGGTTTGCCAATGGCACAGTGGCAGATAGGATAGCACTCCAGAGGGGTAAGATCATTGCCCAGAGGATCATCGGTTGCCCTCTCCCTTCTTTGGAAGAGCTTTGTAACTCTCACTGCCTTAAGAAAATTCAAAACATTCTTAAAGATCCATCTCATCCTGGGCACCCTTTTTTTGAACTATTACCATCTGGCAGACGGTACAGGATAATAAAAACAAGGACAAATAAGCTGAAAAACAGCTTCTATCCCAGGGCAGTAACTATATTGAATTCTACAGTATATTGCATATTGGGTTTTCAATTTCAATTGTATAGAATGTAAAGGATGTGTGTATAATGTACAGTGAAGATGGTGTTTAATTTCGTTATGCGAGGTGCAATGACAATAAAGTAAACTAAATTAACTAAATCTATGTGCCAAATCCTGTTTAGATGAAACTTACCAGGCGGTTCTCTGGCACTCCTAGCACAACTTCATGTAAAAGATCTCCACTGCCAAAATGCTGTGCTATCGACAACCCACTCAGGCAGTAGCATGTATGGTAAAAATCTCGAGACCTGGAGGGGAATCACACACAAGGTTGAGGTAACAGAAACTCAAGTGGTTTTTATGCTAGACATGCATGCTTTTATATAGAGTTCATTTTTGAAATTAGCAATAGCACTAGCACTTTGACTTATATACCACTTCACACTGCTTTACAGCCCTCTCTAAGTGGTTTACAGAGTCAGGATATTGCCCCACCCCACCAAACAATCTGGGTCCTCATTTTACCCACCTTGGAAATGGAAAGCTGAAAGGCTGAGTCAACTTTGAGCCTGGTGAGATTCGAACTGTCGAACTGCAGGCAGCCAGCAGACAGCAAAATTAGGCTGCAGTACTGCATTCTAACCACTGCGCCACCATGGCTCTTGAAATTAGGTTTAGAATATGTAGAAAATCAAACCAACAGGCAAAATCTAGCTAGAATAAGTCTCAAGCTGGGTACAGGCCCTTGGTCTCACCTTGAATATAGGTAGTCCCCGACTTACAGCCACAATTGAGACTAACATTTCTGTTATTAAGTGAGAAATTTGTTAAGTGAATTTTGCCCCATTTTACGACCTTTCTTGCCTCAGTTGTTAAGTGAACCACTGCAGTTGATAAGTTAGCAGCCCAGTTGTTATGTGAATCTGGGTTTCCCATTGACTTTGCTTGTCAGAAAGGTTGCAAAAGGTGATCACATTATCTTGGGACACAGCAATGGTCATAAATATGAACCAGTTGCCAATCGTCTGAATTTTGATCACATGATCATGGGGATGCTGGAAAGGTTGTAACTGTGAAAAACAGTCATAAGTCACTTTTTTCAATGCCGTTGTAACTTTGGTCACTAAATGAACTATTCTAAGGATTCTTGAGGAGTACCTGTACCTCACATTCAATCAATGGACATCCCAAAGAAAGGCAGAAAGATCTGGAGGGTGATGATCAAATTCCATCTCCTCAGAGTCTCTAGCTTTCATTTCTCAAGTTTTTGTCTGGCCGCCAATGCATATATTAATTTGGCTACATTTATCTTCACAATGGAACAAAAGGCAAGTGGGAAGGGGCTTTAAAGTTTGGTTCAGTTAAATGGGGTTGCCAATAAGTTTGGGATAAACTGTTTCTCTTGTCAAGTTAATTAAGCAGATTATGGCAATTTAAGATAACTTAATGAAATGGATTGCTGAATTCTGTTGCTTTTGAGAAAAAAATGTGGAAGTTGGATGTTTCGATGCCGTTTCCCCAGATTCCCCAATTCCGATTATGATGCTAGTTCCTCCCTAACTCTAGCTCTCCAAATCGCCTTCTCTGCCTGTCATTTTAATGCATCTCTATTATGCAAAGGGCTTTTGAGTACCATCCGATCAGGACTTTTGATAATCCCAAATTTATCATTTCCAATAGCAAGGAAGATGCCTGTCAAGAAATCGCGCAGTACTACTCACTTTCCTGGCTTGTCCAAAAGACCTCCTGCAGGACATTGGCAACATAACAAGATATATTCTTGAAGAGCTTGTTGGTCAAACATCCAGTGTGTCATACTGAGAGCAGGATCACCTAAGAGAAACATCACATCAATAAAAACTTAAGAAAAACGGTTGAAAATAGTTCCTGCACACCATGCTAATAGGAATATACAAAAGGAAGGTACTTGATTCAAGTTTAGTTCTATAGCATGATCCTATTGGAGAACTAATTTCCTCTCTTATTATTGTCTAGATTCACTCTTCCCAAACCTGGACACTATCCAAGATTTTTAAGTTCAGCTCCTTAGTTTTTTCCTAGCCAACGTAGCCATTGCTGAGATTTTTGGGAGTCAAAACCGTTTTGGAAGACAGGTTGGGTAAAGCTATTCAGATGGACTCCAGCATTCATCGTGCCCAGCCAGGCTTGGAGCTGTAGCCCAACACAAGGAATACACCAAATGAGGACCCAGTTTGTGGGGGCAATAAGCTGACTTTGTATAAATATACAAAAGGATGAAGGCTATTGCTGAGCACATTGTAAGCTGCCCTGAGTCTTTGGAGAAGGGCGGCATATAAATCAAATTTTAAAAAAAAACAAAAAAAAAACACCAGGTTGAGAATGTCCTCATGGCACACTCATAAGGGTCAGTTGTAGCAAGTGTGGCTCACTTAATCATAATCAAGATGGCGCCTCCTAGGTTTTTCTATTTTACTCTACTGAACTTTAAGGAGACTTGCAGGCAAGAACTAAGTTTCTAGCAGTTGTTGGCAGCTGCTGCTTTTGTCCACTAGTCTTTCCAATTATAGGTACTCAATAGATCATCCACCAGTCGTATGCTGTGCTGCAAGACAACTGGAGGATCCAGTTGCTAAGGAAATAATTAGACCCAAATGAGTATTGAGCAAGAGACAGGTTGGAAAAGAGACAGAACTAAAAATGTATTTTACTTATCCTCAGACATGACATTTTTCATGTATTTCTAACCTTTTGCCTGTCAGCGGTCTGTTGCATTACATGCTTCCTAGCCTTATTCCTAAATTGAAAGAAGAGTATTTCCCAGTTGCTACAAAATCAGAATGCAAAAGCTAAGATTATTCTGTGTTCCTCGTTCTTGAGCTTTCACTGAACTCCAGCATACTTGTTTACTCCAAAAATCAGTGTCAAGAAACTGTGCCCAGTGGGGAAAGCATGGGTAACATTTCGAAGTTCAAAATTACCTTTGGCATGCAAAGCTCGATGTAGGAGAGGCAGTAAACCAGCCTGCCAGAATGAGTAGCAGCCATCCACCAGCTTGTTACAACGACCCTGAAACCCTCCTTCAAAACGCATCTGACGGCTTGTAACCCAGTGCTGGCAGAGAAAGCAAAGCAATCATCACTCTTGCTCACAGCAATCAGAGAAGCTGTTACACACAATAGACCCAACTTAGAGACTCACAGACATTTGCATGTTTTTATTTCCCCCTTTAGTTTAATACAGCCTTATTGCAATAATGTATCCAGGTGGCCACCCTTAGTTATTAAATTGAAAGAACGGAACAAAAAATTAGATTGCTCAATTGACATACTAAAAATAATTTTATTTAACACCATTACAACATGGTAGAGTTGCTATCCAGCAAAGAAATGATGGTGTTGCAAATATTCTCCACCCAGTAATGGATATGACTGGTTTTCCTCAGAGTGATAATGGACAGGAAAATTCACTATTATTACTTTTAGTGCTGTGATATGTTTTGTTATTCTTTCCATTTTTTATTTTTAATAATACAATAATATATATCTAGAATAATAGTTGTTAAGTTTGGAAAGGTGCTCAGAGCCTTCATGAAACTGAGTGAAGTAAAATTGGCAGTACTAAATAAATACCAAAAGTTGTGTATAAAATTTTTAACTGAAATGCTGACATGAAATTCACACATCGTTGCTAAAGCAATTTTCTACGATGATATGCTGAATACAGATCCTATCATCACAGCCTAGTGCTGGGCTGGTGACGATTGGATTGCTCTGAAGCAATGAGATTGAGAATTTCAGTACTAAACTAGTAAAGCATTTTTACAAAGTTATGGATTAGACAGAGATTTGAGACATAAGAAATAATGCCGACGGTTTATCCAGAAGAAATATTTACACAATGAAGAGCCCAGTTATGCAATTTTGTAATATGACAGAAATATCCAAGTACTAGATTTGTGAGCAATAAAAGAGGAACACTACAAAGAAGATAAAAGCAGGTTACGGTTAAACAAGCCTATTAGCAATGCATTAATCATGAATTAGACCCATCATTTATTTTTGAAACTGCAATACAGGCTTGGATTTATGAACAGCCAATTAGAAAAGACCTATGGAAGACTGGTTTGGATATGGTGACTGCAGCAGGCTTAGGACCATGTTTCCCCGAAAATAAGACCCTGTCTTATATTTTTTTGAACTCTGAAATAAGCGCTTGGCCTTATTGCCATGCGCTCAAAAGCCTGACTGGGCTTATTATCAGGGGATGTCTTATTTTGGGGAAAACAGGGTATGTGCACAAAGATGAAAAAACAGTGAGATACCCACAATGGAGAAATGGACAGTAAGGATGGGTTAAAAAAATCAAATGATGATTTATGGATTTGCCATAATTTAAAAGGGTTGAATAATGGGGAAATATGATGTAATTTTAAAGAGAGAAGTATGCAGATTTACTTGTAACTGCTGTAAAGGAGATATGGAGTCACTCCTTTATATATTTTTATTTTCTTGTTTCAGTTTGCTTTTCTCTCCCTTACTTTTCTCACTTTTTCACTTTACTTTTTTCTTCTTTTCCTTAATTTTAGTTTAGATTATTTTGTCCCAAAGGTGCTTTTTTTCAAGAGGCAACTGGACTTTCTGGTTTTTCTTTGAAGACGTTTCGCTTCTCATCCAAGAAGCTCAGAGCTGAAGAAGCTTCTTGGATGAGAAGCAAAACATCTTCAAAGAAAAACCAGAAAGTCCAGCTGCCTGTTGAAAAAGCACCTTTGGGACAACCAAGGCCATGGATGACTGAGAATCTCCATGCATTACATATATTACCTTATTTTATATCTGAGAACATTTTAATAAAAATTATGAAACTGTAATACAGATGCATTTCATTTCTGTTCTTTGAATAGCATGAAATAGATAAGTGAATCTGACAAATGGTTACTTACTAATAAACTTTTCAGATTCAAAACTTGTTCATTTTTGAGAATGACCAAGGCTGCCAGTCCACAAAACGTGTATCCTCCATGGGCTTCCATGCCGGGGACGCCACCGATCCCGCCCTCCCAGTTCTGACATCTAGTTCAAAATTAAAACACAAAAGCAGAGACTGTATTCTTTTTCCAAGATAGAAAATAAGATTAGTGTTTGTTTTTTTGCTTTTCCTCCTCTGGGTAGCTTAGAACAGCCTAAGTCTGTTAAATTGCTAATTAAGAGTTTCTTACCTTGCAATCCATTCCGCAGTTTTTTCAAAGAGAGACTGTGTAATAATGTTGGTAAGGGAAGCTACGGATGCAGCACAATAGGCACTCCTAAGATTTAAATAAAAGAATATTTAAAAGCAATATGTGGAGAAAGAATATACATGGCTCTACTGTTGTAAGCAAGAAATCCTATATTACACTGTATTATCTACAACACACTCAGGATGCTATTGAAAAATAATACGCATCATAAAAAGAAGGGGGCTATTAACTTTTAGTAATTCCTCCACTCGCAAAAAAGCCTCCATGCAACAGCTTTGTGTAGAGGGGAGGAGAGAGATGTAGATAAAGATGGCAACTCTGCTGACAGAGGATTTACATCATCAACACAAGGAAGGAGACAATTGCTGGCAGGTTCCCATCTGTGTTATGGGCAACCTCCCACTCTAAACTGAAAAAGTTCCCCGATTCTCAGAATAGAGAGCTGGGGGGGGGGGGATATGTTGAAGGGGCATCATTAACAATTGGCTTCCTTCCTATATTGCTAACAGCTGAATGAAAAAGGCTTCTGTCAGCAAAGCATCATCAACTGGGCACATTTTTAAAAGCACAACAGAATGGAAATTATACCAAAAGCTAAATTTGGACTTTACATTTACCCTTCAGTTAAACCAACTGGTAATTTAATTTATATTTATAATGACAAAACATACTGTGTGGCTATTGATATTAAGACAGAGAGACCCCTCTTATATCTTTTCCTTAAAATCTCATGGAGGAGAAGGGAAGTTCCAAAGAAGTCGTAGTCTTACACAAATGTGCAATTGTTTATTGGTTTCCCACACTGAATAGTGTAAACCGCAATTCTGTTTTAAAAGTGTTTTCTTTCTTCAATCTGCTATACCAAAACAAAACCCGAGCATGAGTGTTGTTTTTTTCACAGCAGCATGGAACTCCTCTGAATTACAGTCACAGCAAGACATCCTTGTTGACCCTTATTGAGGGATGTTTCCGTAGAGCAGTAGCCAAGGCCTCAATCTCTTATTTACCTCTAGCCGTGTCATTACCAACCTGTGCAGAATGTTAAATGCACTTCAGGAGAAACCACCTAATAATCAATAGCTCCTGATTTGCTTTTTGAGAGAGCAATACATGGTAAGTTTTTGACATACCGGACATCAACTTCGCCTCCTAGGTGCATGATGAAGGAGCCATCAGGCTGCTTCAGGGAATACAGGTATTCCAGAAGTGTCTCTCTGAAAGTGAGAAGCAGCTGATAAGATGAGGAACTTCAGGAATATTTATCCCAATTAGGAGAAAATCAAAGTAGCAAAAATGGTTCAGAATCTCTACAACAACTTTTTCACTTTTTTGATGGCAATCGCCCCACAACATGCTCTTTCTGAAGAATCTTGGGCCCTCATCATCACTGCCAGAGTTTTCATTTCCACCAAAACACCTGGATGCTTCACAATAGCTGCCTTCTTACTACCACCACCCCATGTGCTGTAATGCTATATCTTTGCATATACCCTTTGTTGTATTATGTATCAAAAAAGACCAATTCTCAGCACTGAATCAGGTCAGATGTCAGATGAAACATCATAAGGCCAAATCAAGCCACATAACACTAAATTGACTCCTACTACTGGAATTCAAAGCAACTGGCCAGTGCAATAAGGGAGATGCTGTACCCAACCCCTGCAGAATTCCTGGAGGATGATCTCAGAACCCAGGTTACATATTTAACTCCATACATATTTTCTCTTCTTACAATTCCCAGTCTAACTTATTTTAGGGCCCAACTGTGATATTAGGAACAATTACAGGTAGTTCTCAACTTACAACTACTCATTTACTGATTGAAATTACAACAGCACATAAAAAATGACTTATGACCCTTTTTTATACTTATGACAATTACAACATCCCCATGGTCATCTGATCAACATTTGACACTTGGCAACTGACATGTATTTATGACAGTTGGAGTATCCCGGGGTCAGAGGATCACTTTTTGGGACCTTCTGTTCAGTAAAGTTAATGGGAAAACCAGATTCATTTAAATGTGTTACTAACTTAACAACTGCAGTAATTCACTTAACAACTGTGGCAAGAAAGATCGTAAAATGGGGCAAAACTCACTTAACAATGGTCTTGCTTAGTAATGGAAATTTTGGGTTCAAATGTGGTCGTATCTGTATTTCTTTTCCTTTCTCCAACTTGTGTTAGAGAGCATTGTTTGATACCTTTCTGAGCAGTGCCATGTGTATCTTTTCAGAGTTATACCTTGAAGATCAACTATTCCTAATATGAACGTGTTTTTGACTAGTTTGTTTAATGTGCATGTAAATAAATACTCCTATCAATAGATCAATACTTCTCCAAACTTTCTGACAGTGAGAACAATCAACCAATGGAACAGAAGTTGCCTCTGGAAGTTGTGGTTGCTTCATCACTTGAGACTTTCAAGACAAGATTGGACTGACACTGGTCAGAAATGGTGTAGGGTCTCCTGCTTGAGCAGGGGTTTGGACTAGATGACCTATAAGGGCCCCTGTCAATCTGTTAAACTCCACTGTGGGGAGATTGTACAAACACAGTGGAAGAATCCAGTGATGGATCAGCCATATAATGGCACCACATAAATCTGGGGGTTCTGCTGTTTTTTTAGAAGAAAAGTGAACCTACTATATCAGATAGTAGATCTCTGGCAATTGGTGAAAAATGTTAACATTTCTGACTCTCAACTGATTTAGATTAAGCAACAGAATGTTGCAGTTAGAAAGCAGGCCAGGCTATTGAATGTGCTGCATCTGCCTGCAGTAGGGACTACACACACGTAATTCTAAACAATGTGGACAGGCACTGCTTTCGGTTTGCTTCCCACTGTTCATCATAACCTGTAAGTCTCAAGAGCCAATTTGGGCTAACACTAGTCTAATACAACAGTAATGAAAGCAACACGATGGGCTCAGAGGTGGGTTTGACATATTTTTACCACTGGTTCGCCGCACGGGCGCACGCTCACTTCGTGCATGTGCTTTCTGCGCATGCGCCTGGCCTTCCGCACATGGGCTTTGCTTGCGTGTGCACGTTGCACACATGTGCGCGGCCTAGATAAAAAGTAAGGACAGCATAGCGCCAGGGCGGGTCCACCCATGGTCACCATTACCGGTTTACCCGAACTGGTCCGAACCGGCTGAATACAACCACTACATGGGCTCTAGTTGCCAAAGAGCATCTGTTGGCAAAGTCTGTAGAAGAAAATAGTTTCTTGCTCACTTATCAGTTGTCATTTCCTCTACATTAAGTGAAATAGGGAAGCCTGGGAGAATAGTAGTATCTCTTAGGGATATTGTAGACATCTTATATCATGAATGGAACTAACAATCCCTTGGATCCCTTTCTGAGCTATGATTTTACCTGTTGATAACATTGTATGCCTCTTCAGTGCCAATAATACAGAGAGCATTCACAGCTGCATACGTTGGAGCAAGATGTGGGTGTTGGCCTGGTCCTCCTCCAAATCCTCCGTTTGGGCTCTGACAGTGGCTAAGGAACTGGCACACACTACACACCAAGGAAAGGCAAAGGCAAGACTAGTCTGTAACAAGCAGCAAATGCTAAGTTTTCTCAATAGTTCAGTTTTGCTAAAACTCTCTCCAGTACACCCATTTCTGAAAACAGCTTTTATTCAAGACTTTTTCAAGAGCCTTGGTGGCGCAGCAGACTAAAGTGCTGTTAAATAGCACCAGCTGCCTGCAATTACTGTTAAATAGCACCACCAGCTGCAATTACTGTAAGTTCAAATCTCACCAGGCTCAAGGTTGACTCAGCCTTCCATCCTTTCGAGGTAGGTAAAATGAGGACCCAGATTGTGGGGGCAATAAACTGACTTTGTATAAAAAAGAACCCTGCTTAGGGGGGGGGCGAAAGCCCTACTAAGCAGGTATATACATAAGTATGAAGGCTATTGCTTAATGCATTGTAAGCCGCCCTGAGTCTCCGGAAAAGGGCAGCATATAAATCGAACCAATGAATGAATGAATGAATGAATGAATGAATGAATGAATGAATGAATGAATAAATAAATAAATAAATAAATAAATAAATAAATAAATAAATAAATAAATGTCTCCCTCCTGTCATGTTATCTCCATCATAAAGTAATTAAGGGGGGAAAAGTCCAGAACTTTTATTCTAGCACAAATTTTAACATCATTCCCATGCCACTATATTCCACTGACACAGAATGTATATCTCCAATTGATTGTATCAAATCTGAAAAAACACAAGGGAGACACCCCTTGGGCAATGCAGCTTATGGTTGCTTTACGGTTGCTCCTGAAAATCAAAGGCAGGATAAGATGCCCGAGTGCATCAGGAGGGGGCGGGGGAACGTTCTGGTTTCCCTTCAAACTATAAAATGTTTGCCTTCTACAGGAGGGGAAAGATCTGCAGAAAGAAGAAAGCAGGGAAAAGGAATGCAAAATAATAATCTTGCGCTCCTACAAGATGAGAAATGTACAGTGGTTGAAGAACTAAAATACCTGCTCAAGGATTGTCTCTCATCAAGATTACTTAGCTAACTGCATGATTTCCACTACGGTTTTGTTCTGGTCAGATATGATTTCTGAACTCTCTCCCTTAATTATTCAGAGTAACCTTATCACTTGCTATGATCTAATCAGGTTTCAACAAATAATACTCCTATGAATTAAACTCCCTTAATTATAGTTTGTCAAAGTAGACCAATTTCTCAGCAGAGTTCATGAAATTAAAATGAACCATAATTTAGGATTCAGACCACACAAGTTGCAGTTATTTTAAAACAAGGACAGAGATGAGACATATGCCCAAAGCTCAAGGTGACTCATCCTCATCATATTAAACTAGCTTAATTATTGTCCAAATGCAGTCGCAGCCTTGATAGGCTGCAGTAGCTGGTCAATCATGGATGGTCTAGGAAGCTAAGCAGGTTAACCTTGAATTGTACCCAGTTGTGTGGGTGGGGAACCTTCCTAAGGATTCCAGGGATACCGAAAGATTGAAAAACTGAAAAATGCATCCCAGAGAAGGCAGTGGGAAACCACTTCCATAACTCTGCCAAGGAAACCACGGGATTACAGTTTCCAGGAATCAAAATCAACTCAAGAGCATCCTTACCCTTTAAATTCATGGTTCTTATCAGTTTTCCTGTGTGTCAGGGTTTTAGATACAGTATACAGTACTGCCAAAGGATTCCGATGGTGATGGGACTGAACATGTGAGTAGCACTGAGGGGAAATGTCCCCCATCTCGCTGCAGCTCTAGGGCCCTCAAAATGTGTCCCAAATGATTGATGGACCCCTCCAGGTTTTGGGAAGGGCTAGCGCAGAGGCTACCAACCTTTCTGGACCAGCATGTAAGGGGAAGAGATTGGATGGTTCTGTGTGAGTGGCAAGGAGTGCGTGAGTGCATGCATGCAAGCGGTGAGCGCGTGTGGCCCTCCCGAGCTCTGTTTTCACTGGCAGAAGGTTGCAGGAGGCTGTTGCAGCCTAAAACGGAGCTCAGGAGTCCGTTTTCACTGGCAGAGTGCTCAGGCCTCCACAGGCACCCCTGACATGAGTGACATCGAGCTGGCCACGCCCACCCCGGCACCCCAAGGTTAAATACAACCCTGATGCGGCCCTCAATGAAATTGAGTTTGATACCCCTGATCTAAGCCCATTACTAAAAGCTTCTACTCAAGAACAAATTATTAAGACATTGTTGGAGCAAAATGAATGAGACAATGCACTGTTGTGTTTTTAAAATAATCTGGACATGTGTTGCGTGGACAATAGGATGTTAACTCAGAAAGTCAGGTGCTCTGCATAGCTGATGAAGATTTCAGAATATTAATGTCTATAGTCATTTTTTTGCCGCAGAAATGTTAAATGTAGTGGAACAGAGCTCCACTTCACATTACACTTACCAGTTATTTCTCCTATGTGAACGCTGAGTTTTAACTTTAAACAATTATTTACTGATAAGATACTAGTAATCTGTCTCACATGCATCCTGCTTCTGCATAATCACTCGTCTTTTTCACCCGAAACCTCATCCCAATTTAAATACTACATCAGCATAGCCACTCTTTTCACTTAATGAACTGAACTGAAGCCCATGAAAGCTTGTGCTTTTTAATAAAATGAGTTAATCAGAAAAGGTGCCACCAGACTTTTTCTAATTTCTAATTTTAATTTAGGTAACTTTATTGAGTAGCTTATTTGGAAAAACAGAATTAAAGATGCATAGAATCCAAAACTTTGATGAAACTTTTCTTGATTTCTACCGTAGAGGTTAACTGCATTTTTTAAAAAAATCTTCAATGAGGACTAGAAACTTTTAAGGAAATCAATCTTCAAAATAGGAGTTCCTATATCACATATTGTACATTGTGCAATTTCTGCATAAGTCTCCATAATGCTAAAGAAAAAGTACATCTGATGAAACCAAACTTACTCTGATGCTATTGAATCTGGGATTGGTTCCCCCAAGAGCTCCAGGCTGTGCAGGATCCAATAGCACAGCCATGGGCGACTGGCATCCAGACACTACAAAAGAAGAGAGCTACACCTGTTCAAATCTCACACAATAAGCAGTACTATATTTGCCTCAAATGAGAGACTATTTTGTGCAGGAGGTTTATCAGAACAAAAGTACTGAAAAGCAAACAGCCCATCTAAGAGGCAAAAGAACTTGAACTCGGAAGCATTCTGACAGCGCCAAAAAAATCATTATGATTTGTTCAGTAATAACTTCATGGTAACCTCTCTTTTTATTTATTACTATCCGGACAAAGCAAAAACTACAAGTAACTAACCCACAGAGCTTTCCCCCCCCCAGGTCTGGTACTATACAGATGTGCTGAGACTGCAATTCACAGAATTCCTATCTCTCATGGTCTTTCTGGGAGCAACAGCTTGAAATTTTAGAGGGTGTTGGTCCTCCAGCTGAAGGAGCTAACAGAGGACAAGCCTAATAAAGCCAACCAATAGAACTCAATTTGTCTTCTTCTAGCCCATCTAATATTTAGGTGTCTGAAAATTGTAAAGGTAGAAGCAAAAGAAAAGAGTACCAAGGTCCATGGCCAAATCTATTATTAGAAACCAACAAACTGCAAACATAATCAATAAGGAAAAAAATATACATTTGGTTCAAATTGCAAAAAATTACCTCATAGGCATCAGTCAATTGCCTCAGTCCTCTCTTCAAGTAGTGGAAATGTTTATCTTGTTGCAAAACATACCTGATGGGTTAACCGAAACATAATACCATTTAGCAAAGTTACAGAGTACCATCTGAGTGATGAACAGACTTGCTTGTCACTCAGTTAATTAAAAGGACAAAGAATAACCTGTATTTTCCATAAATAAGTGTATATATGGAATGTGATGTGTTTGTATTTAGGGATGTGTTCCTTGAGCAACTACCAGGCCACTTCACACAAAATGAATTCTGGTTTACACCAATGTAGCTTTATCTTTCTACAAACAAGCAAAATGAGTTTGATTTAAATCAGGAATCTGGTCTTATGCTTACTGGAATAAGTCTGGCCTGACGCTCACACATTACACTATGCAAGCTGTGACAGTTATCCATGTTTATTAACTGTACTCTCTCTCGAGAGAGAGAAGCCAAGGGATCTAATCTGAACAGCATATACGATTACACTGTTCAATCATTAGTTAGCCATATGGTTTCTCATTATGTGCAAATGCAGTCACAATACACTTAATGCAATGTTAGATCAAACCAAGGTCCATATAATGGGACATTCTGGTCAGCATCCAAATGACTGCTGAGACCAGAAGTAAGCAACCATTTCAGGTTATGAGGAGCAGTGCACAATTACAAGATTAGTTTTGACACCTTCAGAACTTTCATTCATGATTTTAAATATTTTAACTTTTAAAAAGGTTTTGTTGGATAGTAAAGAAAAGCTAAACATGATTAATCTACCTGTAGTGCTCACAAAGTAAGGTTGTAGAGAAAACAGGTGGTAGATTTATTGCTTGCCCAGCCCAACCCCTAATAAAGTCATTCATTCTTTTTATGAAGGGAAAGCAATCTAAGGAGTCTTGTCATTGTAAAGTTTGAGAATCCTGCCATAAATTAATAGTGCAATGTGGTGCATCAATAAAATAATTTGTGTCAAACTGTCGGTTAATTTCTGTTGGATAAACCTGAAGGATAACAAAATAATTTCTACCTCTTGCCATTTTATTGCAATAGTAATGATTAACAGTGGTTTTGATTGCTACCGTATTATTACAAAACATCTTAAATAATTAACCAGTATAAAAGATTTTAAAGCAAGTTCACTAAGAAGAGTGTTCTCTGAAATCAAGAAACATCTAGGAGAAAAACATTAAAATGGAAAAATAAGCCAAGGTGAACATATGTGATTGAAAGAGACACATGAATGTAATAGGCAGGTCACTGAAGGGTGAATCAAAGTAATATTGAGGATCAGGCAAGGGTCTTCTAGAAAGCAGATTCCTACAGAGCGAAGATTTCAAATAATAATATAAAGATCAAGAAAAGTACATACATGCATAAACCCAAGATGACAAAAAAATAATCAGTGAAGTGCTTGATTTTATAAGCTTTTTATCCTGTCTGTTTCTTGGGGGAGGGTTTTTTTCTTTTGGCTAAGCCACAATTGCTAATTATGTAAAGTTTTAAAAAGAATAAGAAACAGAAGTGGAGAAGAGGTAGAGATGAGGATGAGAAGGCTCTGGGGTGGGGTTTCCTCCCCTCTATTGTTTGCACTGGAAGAAAAGCTCCCATTCAGAACAACACACTGTCATCCAACACAAAAACAAGAAGGGTGACTTCATGATGTTTCTCTAAGATTTAATGAATGGAATGCCATACAATATTCCACAAGTGAGTATTAAAGCTGCATGCACTTATATATGCTTGAATATTTAGATACGTAAACATAAATCCTTCCCCATCTTGCCCCCATGATTGCCCCCAATTGCATCTTCTAGGATTAAGAGATAACCTGCAGGTATAAAAATAAGGGCAGGAAATTGCTATAAAAAGAACACATTCCTCAAAATAGATAAGCCAGCACAATTCAAGATCCAAAGTCCTTAACAGTTTATGGTTTTTTTAACTGTATATAGAAGAAAAAGAACATGAATACAATAACTTACTGGGTGTCGTGATGATTTCTCTTGTAAACATCAAAAACTTCTTGAACAATATCCTCCACTTTTGTCTGCATCAAACCAAGGGGACAAAGAAGAGTCACAGAAAACATGGAAAAAGAAAGCAGTAAAATTAGCACAATAATTGTTATATAAGGAGGTCAATCATCACATTGCAATACCATGATGTCATAGCATAACATGTCAGAAGTGTTTTAATGACTGTGAATGCACCCAGGTAGAGTCTTTTGTACCCCAAACACTTCTCCACTGGTGCAGAAGACACTTTCCATGCTGATACACTGTGCTGGAATCAACATGGCTTTCCACAATCTTAATTAATACTTCTAGGATCAAACTATTTGAGGAACCCTATGATGTCTCATTTCCAGTGGAACACAATAGCAGAAAAATGCTAGCAGTACATTCTTTAGGAGCACTAAAATGTGTCACGTAGCATTTATTTTACTTGAATATAATGGCAGAAAATAAAATATTAATAGTAACACTGGTACTAGCAAGAAACATTAACTGAAGAATGCTCTCAAGTAGAACAAATGACTCTTCAAACTAATAAAAATGATGCAGTCTATTGTTCTTTAGAAAGGGAGAAAGAAATTTAATGTTCAGGGTTTCTATTATATTATTGGTTGTTCAACAGAGCAAACTTACAAAGAAGTACTTCCATGGCAAATTAAAGAGCAATTTGCCAGAGTTTTTCTTGCCTCACTGAAGAAGGCTGCTGCTTAGTTTGCTGGCATCCCCTCAACATGGTAGTTATTTTTTTATATTTTTATTTATTTGTATCCCACCATTATTATTTTTATAAGTAATTCAAGGCAGCAAACATATCAACATACCTTCCTCCTATTTTCCCTTCAGTACCCTGCGGGTTGGGTTGGGCTGAGACAGAGTGACTGGCCCAAGGTCACCTAGCTGGCTTTCATGCCTAAAACAGGACTTGAACTTATGGTCTCTTGCTTTCTAGCTTGGTGCCTTAACCACTAGACCATGGATTGGCAACCTTAAACACTCAAAGAGCCACAAAGGTCCTAACCAGAAGCCCCAGTTCAATTCTGGAGCCAACCGGAAGTCCGGTTCCCCCATTATAGTCTCCTCCTAGCACGGTGTCCTTTTTCCTCTGCTGACTGGAAGTCCGATTCCCCCACCATAAAGTCTCCTCCTAGCACAGCTTCCTTTTTCCTCTGCCAACTGGAAGTTGGTTCCCCCACCATAGTCTCCTCCTAGCATGGCATCCTTTTTCCTCTACCAGTTCTAACCGAAAGCCCTATCAATTGTGGAGCTGACCAGCAACAGGGAGCTGCAGCAGAGGGATGAAAGAGCCACATGCAGCTCCAGAGCCACGGGTTGCTGACCCCTGCACTAGACCAAACTAGCTATAGCACACATTACAATACTACACATTACCGAAACAGATGCTGGCTGTTATGCTGGTGAAAAGCACTTTATGATGATCACCAACATTAAAATCTAGAGCCTAAAAGAGGAAATGAGATGAACAATCAAGGAGACAAGTTATTTATATTCTATTACAAGGCTCCAGAATTCTTCTAAAATTCTGTAATTCTAGTTCTCAGTGAATGGTTAAAAAACAACAACACACCTATGAAGCTTCTATAAAAAAAATAGTTGGGACATTGGGACCTAAGCTCTCTGAGATGCATAACAAGGGATAAAGAAACAGAGCAAGGGAAACTTGATGTCAGATCTCCAAACTAAACCAAAGTTAGAAACTAAAGACACAATAGCTATAGTATTACTACTTTTACCATAAGATGATAGTAACAGAACCTTGGAAGTCTGAATGCATCCCATTCCTCCACCCTGCCCCCTTATCTTTGTGAGAATTTGGGAGGAACATGTCTGAGACACTTTCTCAAATTACATTTCTGCCCTGGACACAGATTCCTTTTATCTGACCACTGTCTTGATTGCAGCTCTTCCTCCTGTTCCTCAAGTTGTTCCTTACTGCACTGACTGACCTGAGTATAGAAATGGTAAATGGACAGGAGAGAAAACATGTCATTCAAAACTTGGATGGTATAGATAATGAAAGGCTTCACAATTAGCGATTCAAAAGCCATAAAGGGATATGTACATCCCAATTTTCATTGCTCAAAATAATAGCCAGCCTTGCTTTCCCAAACACAGGTTAGGCAAAAGCCAAAACCAACAAAAGATATTTGTGAGCATCTGTTGCCTGCTCAAGCAATATATATCTTCTGGGAAAGCTCAAATTGCATTCTACAACTGGTCTTAATTTTTTCCAATTAAAGAAACACTCTATTCGCATTTTTCTGCAGGTTGCCTTGTAATATTTTCTTGCCTTAATTTTTTTAAAAATATTCCCTTCTTTCATGGAATGATCTTCTGGAATGATGACAGTGATTCTATCTCAGAGGTATCTCAGGCAATTGTCATTCTGGCCTACAGTATAGAGAAGGGCAACAAGAGCAACTAAACTCAACTGTAGGCCATAGAATCCAAACACACTGGATAATACAGAATTGTTTTGACAGCTATGTGTATCCTGACTTAAACATGCTTCTCTTCAGGGATTTAAGAAAGATGGTTGGCTCTTTCAAGTTTTTCTATGAATGCAGATTAAAAGATGCATAATCTCGACCCTATAAATGGCAGAATAACTTTAAAATTGCAGAAAATACAGTAACCAGACCATTTTTGCTCTGTAATCCTTTCTTTTTCATGGGGAGAGTCATCTTAAATTCATGGACTTCTGCTTCCTTTGGGATTAATACAAAATAATACTAGGACTACCAACTCAGGTTTTTAACATAGTCTTAAAAAGCATGAGTCCATTTACCTCAAATTAAACTGTCTATCAAGCGTACCTTTGCTCTCAGCCTGGTGCTTCTTAGGTATGTAAGAATGGCATTTCCCTGATTTGCAGTCCCAAAGAATTTGGTGGTGCTGGGATGGTGAGAGCTAATCTTACTAATCAGCACCAAAGAGCAGCCCTATCCAGATGTTACAGGCTTTTCCTGCCCCTGCTTAATTCCACAAATGAATGAGAGCTTGTATATGCCAAGCATAAGTGCTCTACTTCAAACTCCCTTCATTGTCAAGCTTGAAAAGTCTTCAGGAACAAACTATTATAGTATCACCACCAAATTAATATTTTATTAACCAAATGGTACTCTGAACATGGAATAATGTATATTTTACAAAAAAAGAAAAGGACATTAATATAGTTGATGCCCACTCATTCTAAATTTCTCAGTTACAATACCTTTTAAAACAATATGTATAGCATGTCAGCAAAATTATTTATTTATTTTATTTATTTATTTATTTATTACATGTATTTATATTACATGTATTTATACGCCATTCTCTCGAAGGACTCAGGGCGGCGAACACAAGTTAAGAAACAAGTACAGTAAAATCCCATTTTAAACCAAATAACTAATTAATAGTAAATAATAAAACCCGAAATCAGAGTCAGCCTATTTGCTTGAACAGCCAAGTCTTCAGGTCCCGACAGAAGGAATGGAGATCAGGAGCCATCTGGAGCTCAGTAGGTAATTCATTCCAGAGGGTGGGAGCACCCACAGAGAACGCCCTACCCCTGGACACAGCAAGACGACATTGGCTCGCTGTCGGAACCCTGAGGAGAGCGGCCCTATGTGAGCGAACAGGAGGGTGAGAGGCAGGCAGGAGAAGGTCCTGCAAATATCCCAGACCTAAGTCACATAGGGCCTTATAGGTGAGAACCAGCACCTTGAAGCAGACCCGGAGAACCACTGGTAACCAGTGCAGCTCACGCAGGAGGGGTGTTATATGGGAATAATGAGGGGCTCCCGTAACAATCCGTGCGACTGCATTCTGGATCAGCTGGAGTCTCCGGGTGCATCTCAGGGGAAGGCCCATGTAGAGGGAATTGCAGTAATCCAAGTGGGAAGTAACCAGGGCATGAGTGACTGTGCGAAGGTCATCTCGGTCCAGGAAAGGGCGCAACTGGTACACCAGGCGAACCTGTGTGAAGGCCCCCCTGGTCACGGTTGTTAGATGGTCTTCTAGGGACAGCCGAGCATCCAGGAGGACACCTAAATTGCGAGCCCTATCAACGGGGACAAGTTTTTCCCCATCTATCAAAAGTGATGGGGCCTCTGAAACCCGAGATGCCGGCATCCACAGCCACTCAGTCTTGGAGGGATTGAGTTTGAGTCTGTTTCTGCCCATCCAGGCCTGTACCGCCTCCAGGCAACGGGACATCATGGAAAGGGCATCTCTGGGGTGGTCTGGGGTGGAGATGTATAATTGGGTATCATCAGCATATTGATGATATCTCACCCCAAAGCCACGAATGATCTCACCCAGTGGCTTCATATAGATGTTAAAGAGTAGGGGGGAGAGAACCGACCCCTGAGGCACCCCACAATTTAGGGGCCTCGGGGTGGATCTCTGCCCTCCCACCCATACAAACTGAAAGGAAGGAGGAGAACCACTGTAAAACAGTGCCCCCCAACCCCACAAGTCGCTGCAGTAGGATACCATGGTCGATGGTATTAAAAGCCACTGAGAGGTCAAGTAGGACCAGGATGGAGGAACAACCACCATCCCGAGCCCGCCAGAGATCATTCACCAGAGCGACCAATGCCGTTTCCGTGCTGTGTCCGTGTCAGAAGCCCAATTGGTACGGGTCAAGGTATTCCATTCCTCCAGGAATTGTGGTAGCTGTTGTGCCACTACAGTCTCAACAACCTTCGCGATGAAGCGAAGGTTGGAGACGGGACGATAGGATCCAGGGAAGGCTTCTTGCGGAGAGGTCGAACCACCGCCTCCTTAAGAGAGGCGGGGAAGTTCCCCTCTCTCAACGAAGTGTTGACAATTGCCTGGATCCAGTCTCTAGTCATTTCCCTGGCAGCCGAAACCAACCAGGAGGGACAAGGGTCCAATAAGCAAGTGGAGGAACTAAGTTTGCCCATTATCCTGTCCACTTCCTTGACAGAAACAGGGTCAAACTCAATCCAGATATTATTCTCAAGACCCACCCTAGTCTCCCGATTGGATTCTGCCCAGTCAGAGT